CGGAAGCCGATCTCCGAGAGGTCGTCGATGCGTCGGCTGCGGTGCGCTGCTAAAAGATTAACCCGGCCGAGGGACTCCAGTAAGCTCGTGGGGAGTCCGGATATCGTGTCCCCTGATGGTGATGATGTGCTGGCGGCGGCGGGAAGGTAGGACGGGAGAGAGGATCCCAATGTGAGGTCGGTCAGGCGCTCCCCTGCCCGAAGTAGCGGGGGCTTGCACCGGGAGATGGTGGACATGGCGTCTAGGTAGTGGAACAGCTGGAGACAAAATGTCCCTTCGCTGGTTGAGGCCAGCCGGTGCCGGTCAATCGCGCCGAGGAGGCGCCCGGCTGCTTTGAGGTGCCATTTCCAGGCGCGAGAAGTGCCCTCGAACAGCTCCGTGAGACACAGTAGGAGGATTGAGGTGCAGGCCTCGAGGAAGGATTGTCGATTCGGTCGACGGCTGAGCAGGTTGTTGACCTGCGACAGCGCTGTTATGGTCAGTGGCCTTTTTACAGTCGATACATCATGGAGAATTGAGCTTAGGTGTTGCTGTGTTCAGAACAGACTTACCCCGTCCTTGTCGCGTTAGGGCTCGGTTCCAGATTTGGGGGTAGACGCGCCGCCAGTGGCAGCCACTCAGCCCTAAGAGGGCGCTGGTGAGAGTCTCCGAGTTGGCAGCCATCGGCAGCAGAGTCGCCAGAAATGGGTTGGCGGTGGAGTTCGTCGTGGACCGTGACAGGGCTCGGGCCACAATCTGGACATAGTGGTTGAAGAGGCAGCGATCGTCGTCATTGTGCAGATGGGCATTGAGCCCGCTGTCTGGGGGTGGCGAGACGGGTCCGAGGATCATCTCCACATCGATCCAGGACGGCGAAAAGGGCAATATCGGATCATCGCCGACGGATGATAAGAGATGATCGGAAGGAGAGATCGGATCGAGCTCTGGGGTTGGATCCGACACGGAAGACAGGATGAGGTCGTGCGCAGCTTCGGATAACGGCATTTCAGGCGGCGAGGGCAGCGGGGAGACGATCACCGGTGGCGGAGACCGTGCCCTGGGGGCATTCCAATAACATGGTAGGTTCAATCGACGACAGTCGCTACATCGAGGTCGTTTCTCATCGCATTTCTTCTTCCTATTGGCTGACAGTCAGCGAGTGTGCATGCTCATGCAGTCAATTGCGTCCTCATGGATCCCTTTACCGCGCTTTGCAGGAGACACATCCGTCCCGGGACCGAGAGGCTCTGGGCCGGCGATTCGCGAGCGTCTGGGCTTCTGCATTCGGTCTGCCAGGCTGTTGGGGCTCACAGATATGACCAAGGCCTGGCTAGTCAGTATTGGAATACCCCGGATGCTGAAGAAGTGCAAGCATACGTGCGCAGCGGGAGCACGGCGAGGTGCCATCACAGCGTTGTTTCTATGCCAAGTCAGCCCAAGATCAGTCTCAGATGGAGGCAGTAAGGGGGTGGGACTCACAATCACTGCGCACCGAGCGCAGACACGACCCGAGGTAGTCATGGTATCAAAGCATCTAGGACAGAGAAGAAGCGACGGAGGAGAGAAGATGCGTCGTAGGGGTTATCAGTTATCAGGGACGCGACGGGGAGGGGTTCGATAAGCGGTAGAGTCAACGAATCGGATTTCAGTTCACTCGGTAGTGAGTTCTACTGATAACCGAGGCGGGGAGAAGTCTCTATCTCGTAGCTAGCAGGAAATCAGTGCGCCTGCAAATCAGTGGCACTGTTTATCGGTTGATTGGTAACTGGACTTTACTTCGATTCACGCTAATCCAGGCAAGGTTAGGTGGGACTTCTCTCCGGTCTCGAATGCGGGGAAGTAAAAGCCACGTTGACATCACAGCTTGAATCACTTGGGTTCTCTTCAACGGCAATGGAGCCCTATGCCCCAGCAGAGAGGGGTTAGATAGATACCTGGGTTAACCAGTTGAGCAACTCTTGATTTAAACCGCGGGGGAACGAATCCCACACAGCGGGTGAGGGTATCATTGGTGGTTCAAGAGTGAGGCTCTATAACGACATTCAGTTCTCTTCTCTCTCCGCCACCCACGGTACAATCAGCTTACGCCGTAGTCATGCCTGGCTTGCGCTGTGGATAGGAACATCACAGGTGTAGTTAAGTCACGTCACAGATACCGCCTGCTGATGGTATCACAACTAAACATCAATGAGAGTGACAAGATTTCTAGCTGAGCAGAGGTCATAAACTAAGGTAACTTCTTACCCAGATCTACTTGCACCATTGACACAACTAGATCTGTAAGATCCAATGCGTCTGTCCTCCTTTTCCAAGAGCATCACTGTTTCTCATTCACTCTAGAAGAAGCACAGGCCCACAACAATATCAGGCGACGTTTTGAGAAGAGCTATAGCTCTACCGTTCAAAGCGACAGTTTCAATGTCAATCACATGACGGGATCAAAATATATACAGCATGCCCGGAGCGAGAAACCCAAACCCTCGTTGTAGACGGGCTCTGGTGGCAAGACATAGTTGGTAGGACTCGAAAGATGGGTAGTATACGATATCCAGTTTACTCACACTCAGTAGACGGTTCTGAGTGCGTTGAAATCCATATTACTACCATCCTCCTACACCGTTCGCCGCACATGAGCAGTGGACATCAATGTTAGTGTCGAAGTTCACATACTTACAGCATCAGATTCAGGTAACATACTCTTACACTACGAGATCTGACCGAGGCGGTCTAGTGCAACATATCTAGATCCAAACAGTAGCATCTTTTCAAACTCGCTAGAGATGCGACTCCGAGCCCAATTCCGTGACTACCACGAAGCTGGAGGAGACAAACAATCCAGACAAGTGGGGCACGGAGCATCTTTGAAGAGTCAATGAAAATTCTAACTATAGTAGAAGTGGAAATGATAAGCCTACTCTAATCAGCCTTGGCTATATTAGTACGATGCATCACTGAAGCTTCGCTTTCAACAGTCTTGTATCGAGATTGTCACGAGCACTGAGCCAAAGCCGGCCACGATCCAGTCCATGCGCGCCAATGCCTCTTCCGATGTTAGTTCCGATATTGACCTAGAAGAGCCGCTACAGAGCACATGTAATGAGGCTGTGCTAGCATCTGTTGAATGACGGTGTACTGCCATTGCCCCTCTGCCATCATCTTGGTAATCATGGGGCTGGAAATCGACCTGGTGGGTCGGCAGGTGTGTACTCATGTGCATTACAAGCATCGGGCTAGACTATCAATCCCTGTTCCAGCTACTCTTTAAGCCGCAACTGATGATTTTCTGGTCCCAGGAATCTGGGGCTGGCAAGGCTGAGGATATCGAATGCTCCATGCGCAGGGCGACACAGATAGTTCTGAACGCCGCATTTAAGATCCACGCGGCCGCTTCGATCGCGCAACGGAGGGATTATGCTTAAGCTGCGATGATTCCTTTCCGGCTCCATGGTGCCTTGACTGAAGATTGTAATCCTTTGTCTTGAAGGAGGAAGATGAAAACCCGCAGCACGGACAGGATGCCATTGAGGCTACTGACTCGCATGGTGCCATGCGGTCCCACTGTGGCGGGGCTCAGCACTTCAGCGGCATTGGCCCCCACGCCCCACTCACTGCGCAGGGGCGTATTCTTGTATTGTGGTATTGTGGTATTGCTCTATTTTGTCGTATCGAATTAATGTTCGTTGTCCTTTTCTTTAAGCCTAAAGTGTCCTGCGGCCCACGACTAGTACGGTATGCTGGCTGGCAAGGCGTTCGGGGTGATAATATGCATTTAGGGCAAGCTTATAACTGTCTCATCGGCTCCGCCCACTCCCCTCACCCAGAGATAATCAAAAAGATCCGAACTCTCCCCGACCATGTCACCTCCAACGAACAGCTATGCGTTGCACCGCAACTACCATTCCTCAGCTCGGTAAAGAACAACCCCACGGTCGGCTGGGCCCCCGGGAGGGAGTATAATCCAAACTAACCCAACACACCCAGGTTAAACGCCCAGAACCACCTCTGGAAGGATGCGCTGGGCTACAGTCTGCATCCGTGCATCGGCTTGACCGGCGACTCGGCCCCGCGCATCGCCGACATCGGCACGGGCACGGGCATCTGGATGATGGACGTGAAGCGCGAGTATCCCGCCGCGCAGATCGACGGCTTCGACATCTCCTTCGCCCAATGTCCGCCGCCGGAATGGCTGCCGGATGGCGTGCGGCTGCGCGAGCTGGACCTCTATGAGCCGCTGCCCGCCGAGCTGGAGGGGATCTACGACGTCGTGCATCTGCGGCTGTTTTTTGTGGTGATCCGCAACGATGACCCGGGTCCAGTGCTGCGGAATATGCTACGCATGCTGAGTGAGTCTTGCCTGTTTTTCGCTTGTTTTGCTTCCTTTCATGGTCTCTTTCTAACTTTCCGGCTACGAAACGAAAGAGCCCGGTGGGTGGCTGCAATGGTCGGAACACAACTACGAGTCGTGGTCGGTGCAGTCGGTGGGCGGCCGGGAGACCCCCGCCTTGGACGAGATGATGAACTTGATGAAACAAACGGGTTTGGGACGGTAAGCAATGGACCACGGACGCATAACTAGACACCCTTACGGATCAATACTAATGGAACGGCACGGATAGCTGGGTGCCCGGCCTCCCCGATCTCTTCGCGCAACATGGGATGGTGGATGTGCGCAAGGCACTGCATCCGTGCAGCCCGCACAGCCGCGTCTACTGGAGCCAGCTCCAGTTCAACTCCAACGAGGAATACAGCTATCTGGCCATGGATAACAGTACAGCGGATGCGGCCGGGCCGCGTCTGCGCACCCTTATCGGACAGGCTGCCGACGAGTGTCGCCAGGGGGCGGGTTTCGACTTTACCATTGAGGTGGCGTTGGGCCGGAAGTCCGTAGGGGAAGGCAGTTAATATAATATCGAACCAATAATATAGGATCTGTCTGCACGTTTAGCAGGTTTAGAATGAGCACTAGTCTTCTTAGGGCGTGAGGAATGTAGCGTGAGACTATAGTAAGCGGACTATAGCGACTAGCATATAGCGTGAAGAAGCTAGCACCACACTGGGCACAACATCGAGCACAGTGGGGTCAGGCCAGCCTAACGAGAATAAGGTAAAGGCCGGAGGGGCACGAAACTCAGAGGATTAGATTCAACAATTGGAGACAACGGTCGCGAAAGGCTGGAACTTGCGAGTGGTCGAAGCGGCCCCCAAAAACGTCGCCATGATATACAAAGAGTGTAGTTAGGGCCGCGTTGATAAGGCTGGCGTATCGCCTCATTTCTACTTACCCCTCCCCCTCTCCGAATTGCCATCAGCTGCAAGCCTTCCCTGGTGTCACTTTTGACAGAAACCATCATGACTAAAGAGACCCCCAGTCCGATGCTGGCGCTGGCCCGTCAACTCGAGGCTGCGACCAACACCCCCGGCCAGCTTCCCCCGCCCAGCGATGCGCTACACTCGCGACTACTCGCCGCGACGCGTAATCTCCTGACCAGCCTGGAAACCCCGGAGAGCCAATTGATGCATCTGGCCAAGGCAGTACGTTTTCCGATTCTCCTCTGCCCAATTTCCGGGCGCTAGGTCTAAACTCGTCAGCCTGTGGCGCATGGGGTGTTACGCGCCGCCCTGCGCATCCGACTGTTCGAGCGCTTCGACGAGGGCCCTCCCAGCGCCCCGGATCTGGCGCAACGCTGCGGCATTGATGTCGCGCTTCTTGGTAGGTGATGGCGTGCGCATGATAGCTCCACATGCCTTGTGATGGGAAGATCTTGGTTTGACTAATAATCGAGGCGCGACAGTGCGTCTCATGCGAACCCTGGCCGCCATCGGCATCTTCACCGAACCCAGCCCGGGGGTCTACGCCCATACCCTACAATCGCAAAGCCTGCGCCAGCCCCAACACCGGGCCGTGATCCAGGGCATGTGCGTGATTATAACCGTACCTGGAAGTTTGCTGCCCACCGTGCTAATGTAACCGATCGACCGCAGGGCCGAGACCGCGACGTTGATGACGGCGCTCCCCGACTTCCTCGGGACCCACAAATGGCAGAACCCCGTCGATGCGCAGCCCACCCTGTTCGGATTCGCCCACCAAACCGACCAGACCATGTTCGAGTGGCTGGAGTCGCAGCCCGAGCAGCGCGCCATCTTCGCCGCCTTCCAATCCAGCACCGCCGCCCTCGCCGTGTGCCAGCTGCAGCCCTTCCTCCGCAGTCTGCTTAGTGCGCCATCGGAGGATTCTTCGAACGATAGAACCAGAGAAGCCATGCTCGTCGACGTCGGAGGCGGCCGAGGCGCCGTGCTCCGCCAAGTCAGCGACGAGCTGGATCCGCCGCCGCGCGGTCGCATCGTGCTGCAGGACCTGCCCCAAGTCTTGGAGGGGGTGGACGGCGGCGACCGCATCGAGGTGATGCCCTACAACTTTCTCCAGTCCCAGCCCGTTCACGGTATGTCTCTTTCAACTCAAAGTGCGCTTCGTCTGCTGCTCTGTTCTCTGCTTATCGTCTATGGATTCTTCAAGGAGCCCGAACTTACCTCTTCCGTCACATCTTCCACAATTGGAGCGATGGGGTGGTCGCGACCATACTGCAGAACACCGTGGCAGCGATGGCTCCGTCCTCGCGGCTGGTCATTGTCGACCTGGTGCTCCCGGACGGAGGAGGCGCGTCCCCCTACGCGGCGTTTTTGGATGTGAGCATGATGGCATTTGGAGGCATGGAGCGCACCGAGGCGCAGTGGCGGGGGATATTAGGGCGAGCCGGGCTGCAGGTGCGCCGCATTGAGCCGTTGGATGCGCTGACCCCGGGGTCGGACCAGGTCATTGAGGCGGTGCTGGCTTGATGAATGCTATCTACACGATTGAAATAAAATTGGAACCAAAAATTTGAGGCGTGATCGGAGCATTCCATCATGTGGATTGAGCTTCTTCTCTGCATGTACAGAGTATATTCTCTTCAATATGGTACATCGATGCTGTCGCCACGATTAAACCTTCCCTCACGCTAGATTCTGCTTCACAAAGGCAGCCACCGGGGCGGGATCGACCAGCCACGGGGAATGGCCCGTAGCGACAGTATCTGTGGTAATCTGAGCGCCCTTGGCGCGGGCCTTGTCCACCATCAACTGCTGCACGAAGAGGGGGATGGCGCGGTCGTGCTCGCACAGGAGGTAGGCGCTCGGAATCTGGGTGTAGGCGGTGCTGCGGGCGGGCGAGTTCTTGGTCGCCCAGGCGTGCGGACGCAGCGTCTGCGCCCACTTCTCGCCGTCAGGGACGTCGTGGAAGAAGAGGCTGTAGGGGTCGACGGCGCTGACGGTGCCGTTGGCCTCCTGCGGCGGGGGTTAGCATCCGATCGGATCGGAGGGACGATATAATCGACTCACATCGCGGTCGTACCAGTCCGGAGGGACCCCTCCAAATGCCCCAATCAGACTCTCGCCGACCTCCGGGATGAACGCCGAGATAAAGATCAACTTCTTCACGCCGCCCGTCGCGCCGGCGGCTTGTCGTTCGGCCGTGCTGAGCCCGTCTAGCGCGCTGTTCACGGGCAACCCCGACCAACTGTGGGAGATGACCACCACCTCTTTCCCGGCATTGGCCTCCTGTTCGACCAGGTCGCGGAGTGTGTCGATGTCGGGCTGCAGGTCTTGCACGGTGGTGGCCTGCTGGATGGAGGGGAAGGCGACGAGATGGGTGGTGTGGTCGGGGAACTGGGCGGCCAGGGGCTCAAAAGCCGTGGGCGGATACCAGGCCCCCGGGCAGAAAATCAAGGTGGGATTCGAGGCAGCCATGGTGAGGCCGTGATTTCAGGCAGTGGAATTGGGAGCAGGATGCAAGTAGTGAGGAAGAGGATGAGGATGACGAGGAGGATGAGAATGCTGGCGCTGGTGCAGTGGGCGGCGGGCATTAATTAAGTAAGTTAAGCAAGTAGGGCTAAATCAATGGCCCGCCAGTCAGCGGCCAGTCAGTCAACGTGACTGTTGGCAAGCCAACCACCACGTGTCTTGCACTTCTCGCTGCACATCCCTGCACAGTGCATCAAATTAGTTCAGTTAATTAGTTAACGCTATTGAACGCACATTCACTTGTGAGTCCGCCTTGGCCCCAACCATGGGTCCAATTGGGTCCAACTGGGCCCATTGAGGGGCTCCGTTCCGTGCCGTGCCATTCGCGGGTCTGTCCGACTTGACCGGATTCCCTCTAACGCAGAAACCCTTAGCTGCAGGGGCCAGTCCGTCACTGCAATTCAAGTCTGTTGGACTGACTTATCCTGACTAACTTGGGGGCCGGACAACAAGGCGAACAATCAGGGCCCACTATTGGTGCATTGAGGGGGCCGAAGTCAGAGACCCCGGTAATCTGCACATCAGACAATGGAACGTGGGAAGACAGGGTAAGATAGTAGGTAGGTAGACATTCTGCACGTTTTCCCTCCCCCCCCCCATCTTTTGCTTATCCCCCCCCCCCTTCTCCTCTCTCCTCTCCTCTCTCTTTCTCTTCTCTTTGCATTTTATGGTCTGTTCAACTTTTGGTAATTTCTGCGCCTTGGTCACCTGGGTCATTTTGGTCGTCTTGACCACCACGACCACCATGACCACTGCCTCGCTCAACCAGAGCGCCCAGAGCCAGACCCTGGGCGCCATCATCCCCTTTGCCGTCCTATCCATTATCGCCGTTGTTCTCCGTTTGCTGGCCAAATCTCTGACCCGGCTGCGATTTGGCCTGGATGACTATTTAATAATTGTGGGATTGGCCTGCTCGCTGGGTTGCTTCAGTCTTTCCACCATCAGTCGGTTGCCCTCTTGTTCACGATTATTCTGGAACCCTAAATGTGCCCTGGATACTGACAAGCAGGACACAGTGGTTGCATTGGGATCGGGTCGTCACCTGGCGGTCGTGCCCACAGGGAACATCCACAAGTACCTCAAGGTTCGTTTATGCGCCTCTTCACTCTCTATCCTGCTCGCGTGCAGTGCAGTCACTCATCCCTTTTCGGGCGCATCCGCGTGTAGTGCATGTATGCCTATCAGATGATCTACACCGCGACCATCCTCTCCGTCAAACTGTCCATCCTCACCTACTACGTCCGCATCTTCCAAATCCGCCCCTTCCGCATCGCCGTCTATGTCGTCGGCAGTCTGGTCGTCGCCTGGGCCGTCATTGTGTGGTTCATCTCCATTTTCTCCTGCCGCCCGCTGAACGGCTTCTGGGACAAGTCGGTGCCGGCCACCTGCGTCAGCAGCAAGGCCTTCTACGTCGGAAACGCGGTCCCCAACATCTGCACCGATGTGATGATTTTAATCCTGCCCCTGCGCATGGTCTGGGGGCTGCAGACCACCCGCATCCAGAAGGTCACTCTGTCGGCTATCTTTCTCCTGGGGGGCTTGTGGGTTCCCTCCTCCGTGTTTTGCTGCTTCGATGTGGAACTCAATGCTAACGAATCGGTCGACTAGTGTGGTGGTATGCAGTTGCATTCGACTATCGACGCAGTTCAAAGTCGATGACCCGGATTTCACCTGTAAGTCTAGTTCTGGTGGTCGCAAAGAGGGCAAATAAGAAAACCACAGGACGGTACTCGCTGACGCACCACCTACAGGGGCCATGAACGGCACCGTGATCTGGACCTCGCTGGAAGTCTCCTTTGGCGTCATCTCCGCCTGTCTGCCCACCATGCGTCCCATCGTCCGCTGGGCAATGCGAAAACTGAACATCGAAGCCACGGACACGTCCAAATCCTCCCAGCGCTATTTCCCCTCCAACCACGTCACCGCGCGGGGATTCGAGACGCTGTCCGGGTCAGGGGGCGAGCCCCAGACGCATCAATTACACACCACCGCAGTGCGCAGTAACAGTCGGACGGAGAGCAATAATGGAGAGGAGCTGTTGCTGGGGCAGATTCAGGTTAAAAATGAGGTCCGATTCGAGGCCGAGTCGGTATAGCGCTGGCGGAGTTAAGTGTGTTTCTGTATATTGTAGATATTTTGCATCATGTGGGATCTAAGGGCGCTCTGGTCTGCTTTCTCTATTGGCACTGTAGTCTGTTCACGCGTAAGCGGGATGGTGGACTAAGTTGCAGACGTTTCTGACGCCCTCAGCGGCTCCGTAGACCTTCCGCCCGGAGAGGCGTGTCAACCCGCATACTAGCTATATTAATGGCTCCCATTATATGATGCCAATTGGATAGGAGTGGGGCAATGAATGTGGCTTTGAGCCGCCTGATAAAAGCTGGCCCCTCTTCTGTTAGCCCACGGCCTATAAATTGCTCAACACCCCCCCTTCCTCTCCCCCCTCAGTATCTCTTCGTAGTCAATCAATTGCCTCAATTAGGCTCCATCCTCACTCTGTTCCATTGTGATCTGTACATCACATACCTTTACTACTTCCGTTCCTCCCATGGCCCTCCCTGTATCTCACTACTTCTCGCAGCGATGGCACACGACCCCGCTGCCGCGCCTGATCGATGAACTCGCCGAACTATGTCCGAACCACCCTATGGTCTCCCTACCGCGCAACAAGGAACGGCCAGATGAAGGATACCGTGACTACAGCATTCAGAAGTTCTCCCGTGCGGTGAATCGCGCCGCGTGGTGGATTGAGCAGCATCTGGGACGTGCTTCGACCCGCTGGGCCACCCTGCATTATGTGGCTCCTCAAGACCTGTCGTACTTCATTATCACGTTGGCCGCCGTTAAAACAGGATATCAGGTAAGCTGACACAGACGAAGACATAGCTTCTCGCTAGGGCACATCTTCGGAAATCACCAGCTCTAACGGCCTACGCAGACCCTGACTTGTCACCCCAGCGCGGACGTCGACACGCATCTGTCGCTCATGGAGCACACTGACTGCCAGCTGCTGCTGTATCCCCCCAGCCCACACACGTCGGCGATGCAGAAGGTCAACGCCATTCGGGCCTTCAAGTCCGGGCTGACCGCTCTCGTCACCCCGACGCTGGAGGAGTGGCTGGCCGCCGAGGGCGCCCCGACTCCCGTGTACGCCTTCACGCCAACATTGGCAGAAGTGCTGCACGATCCCTTCACCGTCATTCACAGCTCGGCCTCGACGGGGCCTGCCAAGCCCATCGTCTTCACCCATGCCACTGTCTACCTGCAGCCGGTGGGGTTTCAGAAGCTGCTGGATCCCAGTCTGGTCAACTACGAGCAGTGGCGCGGCCAGCGCGTCGGCGTGCTGACGCCCCTCTCCATCGCCGCGGGCCTGTTCCCCTTCCTAGGCATGAACTTCTGCTTCGATCTGACCTTGGTGCTGCCCGCCGTGACAACTGGCCCTGGTCCTTCCATGACCGCAACGCTAATGGACCAGCTCCTACGACACGGCGACGTCTTTGCCTGTATTATGGGACCCAAGACCCTCCCCGAGACGTGCGCTAACCCGGCCTACGCCGAAAACCTACGCCGCGTGCGCCAGCTCGCCATCGTCGGGGCTCCCTGCCCGCCGTACCTGGCCTCCCAAATCACCGCGCACACCCAGATCACCCACATCTACGGCTCGTCCGAGTCTGGCACACTGCCCGCCGAGGTGCTGCCCGACCCGGCCGACTGGGCCTATTTGAAGCTGAGTCCAGATGTGCCGCACGAGTACCGCCCCGTGTGCGGGCCCTACCACGAGCTGGTGCTGTTGCGACGTCCCGACGCGCCCGCCCAGCCCGTCTTCGCCATGTTCCGCGACTGTGACGAGTATCCCATGGGCGACCTGTTCGCCCGGCATCCCTCGCAACCAGATTGCTGGCGCTACTGTGGCCGCCGCGCGGATCTCGTGGGCTCTCCGCCGCGTCGCTTCCTGCCCCGCGACATGGAGTGGGTGCTGGAGGCCCATCCCGCCGTCCGCTGGGCCCTAATTGCCGAGGAGCGCCACGGTGGCCTTGCCCTGCTGCTGGACCTCCACCCCGACGCACAACGTGTGTGTCCTCCGACTACAGATATCTGGGACACTCTCCAGCCGCTGCTCGACCAGGCCAACGCGCTGTGTCCCATCCCCGCCGCCCTCCGCCGAGATCTTGTCGTCTTCACCGACCCGTCCCGGCCCCTGCCACTCAGTGTCAAAGGGAACCCGCAGCGCGCCCGCTCCCTCGAGCTCTACCGGTCGGATATCGAGGCCGTGTTCGCTTAGGATGAGAGTCATGACTACGTGGTGCTCTCTCGGCTGTCCTGCGATGTGTGCTGCGTCACCGACCAGTGGCGTGTGTGGTATTAGGCCTTTCCATCCCCTCAGGAATGCACGCAATTGGCCAATGCGCCCTTGCGTCTTGCTCCTCTGGGTGTCATAATGCAAAGTTGCAGAAGAGATGCGGATGCCCTGGCGCTCCTCAATGACGATACGATTCAAGTACTTTAGATTGGAAAATGAGAACATACTTCTACAATTGCTCCATCGCCTCTCAACTCAATGAACGCGGGTGGCCATTTCCCACATTTGGCGGACTCATCTCCGCTCTCATGGCGCAGGGCATTGCAGTTATGGGTATCTAGTCTTCGTTCATGGTAGCTCTTCTCGTACCCTAACAACAATCTCATAGTATCTATTAGTTCCGCCCCGCATTGGGGTAGCTTGAAGGTAATCTTGATTACCCATCCACAAGCTTCTATATATGGTGACTACTTTATCCTAGTCTAAGCTGTGCTTCTTTCGAGCAAATACTGCCGGAACCGGGCGTGCCACGAGTCTCTCTTGCTGCTACTCCCCAGGACCACGACGCAATACCGTGCTCTTCGAAGACACATCTAACACTAAGAGCACAGCGCAGATTTCAGGCGGCAGATATACTTCAGGCTGGAACGTATCTGTATTGTTAACCAGGGCTACGATGGAACTGCTGAGTCCTACAGCTAATAATGCTCCCAAGCATACAAGCAGACCATACAACCTATGCTCGCTGTAGACACCGTAACGCTCTGCCCGACTCATCCAACAATCCAATTTCCTTCCTCCGGTTCTAGAAAGCCGGATTGGCGTTCGAGAGCAGTTGCACGAAGTAGGCCTGCCACCACCCCCTCCGTTAGTCCACTACACCCAATCGAGACGTTGAAAAGATAGGACACATACCTGGAACCAGGTCCCTGCCTCCGGCGCCGGCTGCAAGGCATCGCTGTACCCGCAGTGGGCATCGTAGCGGGTCGCCGAGCTATCGGAGGTGCCGTCGCTCTCGCCGCCGGGCTTGACCCAGACGAAGGCGTCGACGAGCGCGTCGCCCGTGTTGGTGGTCGGGCGCACGCCGAACCCCGTGTTGATGACGTTGCACCAGTCGCCCCAGGCTTGTTGGCCGGTGGGCTGTTTGCCGTTGCGGCCTGATTTTGGGATCCGTTAGCTTTGCCAGTGGAGGTGTGGGTGGGGGCGTGGGGGCATACCAGTGTCGACGATGAAGTGGGCGTTGAAGCCCTGCGCTGACAGGAGCGGGGCGATCGCGTTGATGTACTGCTGCTCGTCGCAGACGCTGTTGCCCTGCGTGTACGACGGGCAGGAGGAGATGGTGAAGGCGTTGTAGTTGGCGACATTCGTGGCCAGCCCGCGCACTGCGGCGGGCGAGCTGGCGTTCTTGTACACGCTCGCGTACAGGTTGGCGGCTGGTTGCTGGTTCGCGGGCCAGCCGAGCCAGCCGGCGTGTCCTGTAGTTTGGTTAGATTGTAGCGAATGAAATGGGAGGACGTTTGTTGGGAAGTTGAAAGAAAAGGGGGGTCTGGGGGTTCTCCCCCAGGACGCCTTCAGATAAGGCAACTCACCGGCATCAAGATACATGGCCACGTTGGGAAGGTTCAGCTGCTCCAAGGCATAGTTGGTGCATTCGAGGTAGGCGCTCTGAGCGTTGGCACATTTAGCCACATTGAGGTTGGTCACCAGGTTGGCCAGACTGTCGGGCTCGATCACCAGAATGGTGTGCACATCCGAATACTGCACCAAGACCTTGCGGATGGAGTCGATGTAGGCCTTGTAGTTGGCCACACCGTTGTTGGCAATGGAGTACTCGCCGTTGCTGGCCAGCGCGGCGCAGTCGCGGTCCGGGAGGTCGTAGACCACAAACTGGCCGGCAATGGGGGGGTTGGCTCCCGCTGCGTTCTGGGCTTTGATGTCGGCCAGGTAAGTGGCCATTGTCGGCACCTTGGCAGCCACGTCCAGCCAGACGAAAGAGGGCACCTTGGCTGCGGCTGTGGCTGCTGCTTGGAGCGAGGAAAGTGTCCCCGTGAGGGATGGGATAGCCAGGGAGGCCACTTCGGAGGAGTAGTAGGGGTTCACGTAGAGCTGGTACCCACTGAACGGGTTGCCGCTCGCGCTGGCTGTGGTAGTAGCCGTGGTCGTCGAGACGGTGCCGGTAGAGGACTTAGTTGTAGACGTCTGAGAGGCAGAGGTCTTGGTGGTAGTCGTCGTGGTTGCCCCAGCAGTGGTCGTGGTTGTCTTCAAGGTGGTGGAGGTTGCGGTACCTGCTGCTGGCGTACACTGAGCGTAGTCTGCAGACCATGGTCATTTGGATGTCAAGCATGCAGGTTCATAGAATACTTACACTGATTCACCGTTGAGCATGTTGCTCCTGCCACACAACTAGTGAGTCCGGAGTAGCCCTGACCACCACATTGTCCATAGAGGGTTTGCTGAGCCTGGATTGCGCATGGCAGCAGCGCCGCCGCGACCGACCATGTATAGCGCATGTTGAAACGTGAGACAAAATGTCCAAAGGTAGCAGAAAGATTTAGAGAATGATTTGCGTTCGATTGCTCTCAAGGCCTCCTTCGGTGGGCGGAGACGAGCAAAACTTTATATGTCATACCCACAGGCCCACGGATGAACTGCCGCGCTGCCCTGGGACGCAGCGCCGTCTTCCGTGTCCATTCCAACTCTTGGTTCTGGAAGATGAGGCTGGCCGGAGTGACAGGGGAAATGAGATAGGTCGATGCTTACCGAAAGAAGCCCTACTCCGTTCTGAAAGGGGATAGAGTGCTGTCGGTAATCTATTCCCTGTCCCAATCACTCATGCAGTGCAAGTATGGCCCGAAGACCAAGCGAGCAGAGCCAAACCAACTATCGGACACCATCGGAGGGTGGCGCTGAGACAACCCCAAATCGGCGCGGAGAGCACGCAGAGGGATCACGGGTGCCTGAAGAAAGCTGCGTGCAACCCCACGTTTCGGCAGTTGCAAGTGATGGAATACGCAGGGTCTGTGGGGATTAGCCTGACGGCGTGACGGCCCGTTCAGCCTGTATTTCCTGTGGTTGCACTGATTGCATGCAGGTACAGCAGCCGCATGGATTCCATTTAGCCGGAATTGCTCGGTAAAAGAGCTCGGCCGAGGACTAGTCTACAGGTGCTCAACTTCATTCCTGGGTTGCCCACCCACCTGGACTTCTGTTATATGATCGATAAATCCCTTCTGGTTTGGTTAGTGAACTCGCCTGGCCTATGCTCGCGGCTTCTGACAGTCGCATTTTGGCTTATCCGAAGCGGCAGCCCCTAGTTAGCCCTAAGCAGCTTTGTCCGTAATCTAGTGATTCTTACCTTATAGTGTAATCATCCGGCAGATTCCATGCAACGGTTAGAGTACACATCTTCCCAAGATACAGCGATCGTAGAAGAAATCAGAAATCAACGGGTGGTTGTATTCGCCTGTAGACTGCATTCAATGACCCTTCTCGCACGCATGCGAGGAATAGGCGCGTCTTGGAGCAAGCTCTATCACTGTACCCTAGGCTGAGCCCTACGGTTGTTCTAACGATATGCCCTTGTCTTTCTTCTCAGTAGGAAAAAAAGTCGAAACCAAGGACTCGTCATCATCACATTGTACCATTCTATGTATTACGCTCGGCTTCTCGCCAGTAGTTCGATTAGTCCGTGCAGTTCGTACTTTCGTCTTTCTGGTGGCTGCTCCCCCCGCTGCCGTTCAAAAACACGATCTTCCTGCAACACCACTCCCAGCCCAGCCGATCTCTCTGCGTCGCCGTGAGCGCCCTTTCTGCTGCTGTGAGAACACTGCTCGACCAGCCCTTCATCTACCAGTGGTCCTCCTCATAGTATCGCAGCAGCGGAGCATAGTGAATGAACACCCGGAGTGCCACGGGCTCGTGGCGTCGCAGCCGCGCCCAGTACTCCTCAGAGACGTTCGCGGGCCACGCAGCAACGAGACGCGTATTCTGCGGTCCCGTCACTGGATTATAGGCCTTGCAGACTACCGTCTGAAGGTGTGAGATGGCGTCGTGGTAGACCAGGTCGTCGAGAGCTATCGTATGCAGGTCATCGAAAAGCTCGTGGATGTCAGACCAAATTGAGGGTTCAGGGGAACAGGCGGCAGGGTGCGTCTGCTTTGGACAGATCCCCACGATTTGCCCCACGGGACGATCGAGAATAGTCTCCTGGTGCAGTAGGAAGAGGGCCTTGCATCCACGGATGAGACCGAGCGAGTCAATGATCTCGTCTAACGTGAGTGCATCGTTAGCAGCGATCGGGGCAGCGAAGGCCCAGACGATAAGCAGCATGGCAAAGGTGAAAGGGCCATCGTGGCCGGGAGACAAGCTTGCAAGCTGGGTGTTGAAAAGTTGCAGGCCGAGACTGTGGTGGTGCAGCGCGCGCACGTGGTAGGTGTCATTGCTGGTCGGTGTATGAGGTGGGCTTGTGGTGGTGATTGCAAGGTGGAGAGCCGCCACGGCGAGCAGGCCGTGCATCAGCATAGGGTTGGACCCGGCTTCGAAGGGGATGTGTCTTTGCCAGACATGCAGGTTACTGGGGCCGTCAAATAGGGAGAGGGCCGTTATGGCGGTAGAATGGCTCATTAGCACCAGATCGAGTGAGTCGAATAGGGGTGGGGAGACATCATTGGTTGTTGTTGTTGTTGGTGGTCGTGGTCGTGGCTGTGGCTGTGGCTGTGGCTGTGGTTGAGGTTGTGGTTGTGGGGATACAGGTATATGGATTTGTTCTTGGTAGAGGCAGGGGCACTGAGCCCGCACACAGCTGAAGCAAGCAGGGCGTGTCTCATCGCACTAGATGGCTTAGTAGTGGAGTAATGAAAGTACAATCTTTGACCAGGCTGGCGTACCTTGACGCGGCGACGCCTGGACTCAAGATAGCCATTGCGGGACTTCCGATGGAAGCGTTTGGCAGGCATGCTGGCTGGGGTAAAACAGGTACAGTACGGAGAAGAAGAGAAAGGTTCAGCCGGAATACCGAAGGATTTCATCTCGGGCCTATGATCTTCCGATGTATACTGTACGGTAAGGTATGTATCTGTCTGTCTCCAGCCTACTTTCAATGGTGTCGAAACCGAAAACAGGTCCCCTCTAAGGCAACTGAGAACTTACTAGGTACAATTCCTACTAGCTATAAGTGATCTGGTGCCATGTAAATATGTGGATCGAACCTATCAGAAGGCTGCCGCCACGGGCCTTGAACGATGAACGATGAACGATGAACGATAAACGAGGAACGAGGAACGAGGAACGAATCTTAATCCTGATTAACTCTGCCAACCACACGATCATGCTTCCATTATTAGTGACAGGACCTATTGCAAGACGAAAGCTCTGCATCGCGGCTGTATTAAGCTTAAATACATCCATGCACACCCTAGCCTGAGCCGAATCAGCCCCAGCATCAGCCCCAGCAACGCAACCGATTCTCAAGCCATGGACAACTGCACCAGCGTCACTCCAGCCTGCCCTGTCTCGGCCACAACATTGGGCTACCATCTCCACCGAGGCGGCAACATTTTTCTGCTGCTCGTCTTCGCCATCTGCGCTCTGGCCCAGATCTACCTGGGCTTCCGCTACCGAGTGCGCCTCTACTCCGCCCTAGTCTTTCTGGGATGTGCAGGCGAGGTGATCGGCTATATCGGCCGCCTCATGCTCCACGCCAACCCCTGGAACAACGGAGGCTTCATCATCCAGACCCTCTTACTCATTGTCTCCCCTTCCTTCCTCGCCGCCGCGCTCTACCTCACCGTCAAGACCATCGTGCTCACCTGCGGTCCCCAATTCTCCCTCCTCAATCCGAAGCTATACGCGTGATTGCTTATCATCTGAGACGCAATTGGCTTCTGCACCCAGCTAGCTGGTGGCGGGCTCCAGGCGACCGCGGCGAACGGCAAGGGGTCAGAGAGCACGGTACGCGTGGGGACGAACATCATGATCGCCGATATTGCCTTCCAGGCGGCCACGATGGCGGTGTGTAGGGTGTTGACGATCGATTATACCCGGAAAGTGTATCTGCATCGGAGACAGCAGGCCAGTTCTACCCCTCTCTCATGGATTTCGGTGAGCCTCAGCGGGTTTGCGGGGTTTGTGGGGTGTCACACGGTGGCTTTTGTGACAATCTTGATTCGGTGCATCTACAGGGGTGTCCTGTCTAAAGGGTCTTGATACTATGACCATGTCAAATCACCAGCTAACATTGATCAGAATACCCGAGATGGCAGGCGGATGGGGAGACCCAATGATGCAAGATGAGACCAAGTTTATGGTTCTGGAAGGGACGTAAGTGGCGCCAATCAATTGACGAATTGTGTTTCGATTGCTAAGTAGGGTTGGGATCAGTATGGTGGCTATTGGTTCGATTCTAATGACCCTTGCGTTTCCGGGAGTCTTTCTTCCTGCGATCAGCAGTCGCCATGCTCGTGGTCAGCATCAAAAGACTGGCAGCCGAGATACGGAGGAGGGATTGGAGCTGACCAAGGGCGCGGATGGCAGGAGTTGGTAGGGGTAGTGGGAGCCGTCGAGCAACACAAACAATCCTTTGCTATGATTTGTGCATGATTGGGATTTTGATTATTGAAAGCTTTTAGGTGCTGGTGTAGTATCAGTCAATTATAATGGATCCAAGAATTCAGACGGACGGACTGGGAACGCTGAATCGGCGATTTTCTCCATAGCTGCCCTTTCATCGTCGATACCAGAAAGATCGATTTGACCTCGGGTCTGGGGCATTGTGGCCACGATAAGATTCAGTGACTCGGTAGGTTCCTTGGCTGTGGTAGTACTTCTCCGCCTCGCATAAGCGAGAGCTCTGGGTGTTGAAATGTAAAAGGAGACGGCCCAGGAGAGTATTGCTGGTTGAACCAGGGGAATGATTGCCCGCAGCGTGGAAGGGTAAATCCGCCGCAACCCCAACCCCAATTTACCACACTCGGGGCAGCTCGTCCAAGTCAGCAGCTCGCTCGCTATCACCACTATCTCAAGAAATCCCGGTATCTTCGGTTCTTCTTGCCCCTTTCCACCGGGTTCTGGTAGATAGGTGTTTTGAGGCTCCTCTGACAAGTAATCCTCGCGACCGCCAAATCCGAATACCGCGCCGCTCTCGGACTGATTACGAGTTGTATTTTTAAACTCTATATTATGGCTATATCGTATCACCAAGACGTCTTAAGATTATAGAAGCTACATGTGATTCAATTCCTTCCTGTTTGCTTGCATACCTGGGGGTGATTTCAGGCATCCGGTGACCACCGACTATCTATATACTTCAGAGTGAAGCCCAAACAGAGTTCCATTCAGTATGAACGGACTATCATCTACTCAGCAGAGCTTCGATTCACAAAACTCACTCGAATACAGTTTGCATTCTCTAGCTATCCCGGATCTGAACACATGCAAACCACATCCGGGTAGAAATCATATCCTAGTACTAGGCCTGTGTACTTTCCACTGCATACCTTTTAGTCATCGTACACCATTTGAAATGAGTCTCAGTGAAAAGCAACATCGCGTTGGCGAGAATCATCTCTGACTCAGCCCTCGATTCCTGCGTCAATCTGTGATGCATCTTTACAACCTCACTAAGGTTGCAGTTGTGCAACGAGCAGACCGATGTGGCTGCATCGGCAAGTTGGGTTTCCTTTGCCTGCTCATCTCCTGTGGCATTCTCCATAGCAAGGATGATGGAGTTCATAGACTCCCCCTGATCAAGATCCTTCTCTAGTCCAACGAGGTCATTTTGGAGGCCGACGATGGAGTTTATTGCCTTCTTCAGTGCCAATATATCCCCCGTATTCCCAACAGGAGAAGGCATCTCGCTTCCAACCAGGCTGAAGAAAGGGGCAATTCCGATAGTTTGAGTTCGAATATCCATGTAGGTTTCAAAATTGTGCTTCAACCGGCCCTGGCGAAATTGCAGCTCATGTATAAAGCCAGAGAACACAATGCAAATTTCGCGGAAAAGGTCCTCTACTGCTGCATACGGGAGGTATCCGCAACAGTACTCATGGAAATATGCCATCAGCGAGCAAATCTCATCTGAGGTACACAAATGTTAGCCGTGAATCTTTCCAATCATGCAGCACTAAGAGGCTAGAGATATAAACATACTCTGAGTGTCGCTCTTGTCTTCACTCTGCAAAGTCATGACGGCTGATTTAAGTGTAGACTCTGCTTCATGGATCATCATCGCCTCGATCAAGTTGTCAACAGTGCAAAGAACAGCCAGCCAAGCAGCCATGCAGATTCGAACATTTTCTGTTCTTGTATCCGGGAAGAAAAGAGCGATGGCGTTCACTTCACTAACCGCTTCTTCCACGGGCTGCTTACTCTGCTTATCAGCCCATTTGTGTATTCCAAATCTGAACTTTTGATGATGTCTCAAAACATTCTCCAGCAAGCAATTTGTCCTCTCAGAAGAAGAATCTCCATGGCATGGTACGCGGGCTAGGCCATGATCGGGTATTTCCACCTGTTCTCAATTAGCACCAAACGATCCTCCCTGGGTTTCATAGGTGTTGACCTCGAAGTATCCACTTCGCCTCTTAAACATAATCTTATGTTTAGTTATTTCGGGACTTTCTTTTCCCCTTTGGTATTCATAAAATTCGCCAATGCGCGACATTGTGGAGCCCTCAAGTGGTCAAGTCTGGAACGATGTCTTTGGCTTGTATAATCAGGGATAGATGTATGGCAAACTATACTATTATATGAAGGTTGCGCCGGCAGAAGGGAGTTGTAGTGTGGTCAATGCCGTTTAAATAACGGGCAAGGGCCCACACACCATCACCACTCCAGCGCAACAAGAGGGTGAGTGGGGCAAAGAAATTTCCCTTTTTGAATAAGAGCATTTTTCTCCATTCCTTCCTTTTGAATGGGGTAGTTAGCGACGTCATTTCGGGGATGGCATTACAAAATAATCATCTAGTGAACCTGGGGGCTGGTGCAGAACAGAACATCCGGACCGTTCGCTCAGCCGCACCCTAGAACTACGCAAGCGTGGAATTTATTATCTACATCTGTTTGAAAAGCAAAAGGAATGACATTGTTGCTTTATAAATGGGATGACCTTCAGCAAGAGCCTTTGCGTGGTCAAATGTCACTGTGTATGTTGACTTCTCTACCAACTACTGTATCCGTTATTGTGCTTACATTTGTTACTGGAGCCAACCTCTGCCTGAGATGATCTGGTATGCTTTGGGTTTCGTACATGCGATTCCCGTAACCGCGTAAGACTTGAATCGTCCAGGCCTTTGCTCTTGATAAGGCCCCTTGCATACTTCTTCCCGCTGCAGATCCCTTCCACGGTCTTTCACAAGGGGTGGGGTATGAAAGTGACGGCATTACAGCAAGGGCCTGCGACTGATGAGGTATCAAGGCTGAATGTCTGCTGTGTGGCAAATTGGCACTTTCTCGGTTTCCTGCAGATATTAATCCGACTGGATAAGGATTCTCACATCTGTCACGCAGTAATAGGATGTATTTGGTCTCCATTCTCGCCCAATATGATGCCTTCGTCGGGATTAAATCAGGGGCCAGACCGTGGGATAATCAACAAGACTCACTGGTGCATTGGCGCCACATATCTTCACTCAAACTGGACCACGCTTATCGATGGCTCGGTCACAGCCTCTAGCCAGAGGGGGAAACAAGATGTTCGGCAGCCCGATATATATAGATAGTTTGCAAATTTAGACTCTGATTGATTTATTTTATAACTATTATCTTAGTGTCTATAAGAGATACCAATTTTGCTTGATAATAATTAAGCATGTTCTTAGTATCTGTTGTTTTTACCAGCTAGATTCTGTGCATACAGCCAAGTAGACGGTTTGTATATCTAGAAAGCAACGACTAATTGTAGTTTACATTTTATAATTATTTTTAGACATTATATTTAAAATCTAAAAATGTTAAAAAATGTTCTTTTTTAAATAAAGCTTAATAATGGATTAAAATTTAAAAACTTTAAAAAAGATATTTATAAAAACTTTTTAAGATTTATTATCTTAATATCTGATCTTTGATGTCAAGGAGCGGGCTGGCGTCTGGTTCTTAGTCTGGCTGGATAATAGGAATAACAGCTCTAACTAGATAATTCTTTATAATTAATTTTCTAGACTCTTTACTAGCTATTAGATTAGATGATTTCTAGATTTATAAATAAAATATAGCTTAAAGAGTTATAAACAGAATCAAAAATAAATAAATAATTAAAAAAGTTATAGATTATATATAAAATAGTTAGAAAAAGCAGTTAGATTATTAGAATTCCTAAATATATTATTAAATAAATTAAATAAATAAATAAATAAAATAAATAGAACAGATTTATTAAATTTATATTATAATAATATATCTTTTTTTAGAGCTAAGCTCTGTTAAAATATAGATTATAATTTCTTAAAATAATAATAGTAGAAATTTTTGACTATTTAATAAATATCTTTAAAATACTAGACTAATTCAATAGTTAGATCTAAATATTTAATCTATTTTATAATATATATTAGTTAAAAGCAACTATTTTTTATAATTTTATATAAAATTAAAAATATTTTTAATTTTTTATTCTTTTAATTGAGTAATTTTTATATAAAATAATAGAGATTAATACTGGTCTAGAACTAGTTTTTTACTAATGAATATAAATGTTTTTTACTAATGAATATAAATAAACTAGTATTAAATATAGAACATATTTTTATATTAAAAAATAAAACTAGTTAGTAAATATATAAACTAATAATTTTTTTAATTTTATATAATTTTAAAATATTTTAATCAAGTTTTTTACTAAATTTTAATATTTTAATTTAGTAAATATTTAATTCTATTTTTTAATCTTTTTTAAATCTTTTTATTAATTTATATTATTAGTTTACTTATTCTATATATTAAATTTAAATAGTAGATATTTCTATTTTAATAAATTTTATAATAGTTTATATTTTATAATAAATTAATCTATATTTCTAGTAGTTAGACTATTCGGAATTATTATAAATTTAAAATCTATATAAAAATAAAATCTATAGTTTATAAAAAATAGAATAATCTTAATAATATTAGAATAGATTATATTTATAAATAAATTCAGCTAGAAAAGCCTATTAGTTTTAATTATTTTATAAATAATTTCTATAAATACAAAGATATTATATAAATATTATATTAATTTTTTTAATTTAGTTATTAGTCTTAAAGTAATATATTATAAGAAATTTATTAATAATATCTAATTATTATATTAGATATTTTTAGAATTTAAAAATAAACTAAGATTGTTTATTTAAAAAAAAGATTAGAATAAATTATATAATTTTTATATATATTAAATATATATAAACACAACAACAGTAATATTAATAATAAAATTATATAATATTAAATATTTTTTGATCAAATAATTAATAATTATAAAAATAATATTATAGTTTTAGCTTTTAGATAGATATATAATACAATCTATAAATATATTTTATTATATTTATTTAAATACTAGTAATAGTTTTAAGATTTTTTATTTTATTTTTTAAATAGAATTATTTTTTAGTAGATATAATAGATTTTTTGTTTATTATTCTATATATTGATTAATATTAGATTAGCAGTATTTTTAAATTAATAGCTTATAGATATAGATTTTTTTTAAAATATTTAGAAATAGATTTGTTATAAACTAGTTATATTAGCTTAGCTTTAATCTACTTATTATTTAATATTTATAATTGATTTTTATAAAATAAAAACTTTTTTTTTAAATAATACTAATAATATATCTAGATAATAATTTTTATTGGTAGTTAGGGCTTTTAATATTTTTTTAATTTATTTATCTTTTTATAGATTATATAAAGGGGTTTTTATATTTTAGATAAAAATTATAAATCTTATTTGTTTTTAAAAATAATATTTTTTTAAATATGTATAATAAGTACTAACTTTATTTTAAATATATTTTTAGTATTTTTTAAGATTAATTTTTTTTATTTTTATTCTCTGGCGGAATCAGAAAAAATATTAATAAATAAATAGAATTAATTTCTTTTGTTTTAGGATTATTTAGTTTTAGTACAATAAATATTTATTTTTTTTAAAAAAAAATTATCTAATCTTTTAATTAGATTATTAGGCTTAATACTATATTTTTTAAATTAGCAAATAATCTTAAAATTAAAATATAATAAAAATTTAAATTATTAGATTTATTGGCGGTTCAGCAGCTTGATAAATATAAAATATTTTAAATTATAATAGTTAATAATAACTTAAATTAGAAATAGGATTTTTTCTAGCTTAGATTATTATTTTTTAAAATAATAGATAATAGTATATAGCTTTTTATTATAAATTTTATAATTATATTCAGCAGATATAAATTTTTTAAAAAAATATATAATTAAATATAAAACTTTATTATTTTTATACTAAAATAGTACTTTTTTAAAATATAATTAAAAATATTAATTTTTAAAATAATATTATAAGTCTAATTAAACAGCTGTAGAATCAGGATTTAAATAAAAATATTTTTAAATATATTAAATATCTTCTAGTAGTCTAAAAACTAAATAAATAAAATATTTTTTTATTAAATATAGAAATAGAGTAGTTTATTTTAAAAAATTATAAATAAATTAGAAGTAGAAGTTAGTAAAGTTTAAAAAGATTTATATATTAATTATATAAATTAAAATAAACTACTCGATTATAGTCTTAATCTTTTTTAAATTTATATAAAATTTATTATAGTTTATAATTAGATTTAGAAACTTAGTTTTAAATATAATAAACTTACATTTAGATAATTTAATATAAAATCCTACTTTTTTTAGCTTCTATAAAATATAGTAGATATACTTAGAATATTTTTTATAATAATAACTATAAATTAAAATATTATTTAAATAAATAGTATAAAATATATTAAAATAATTTTTTAAAATATTATTAATATATTATTAGAATATAGCAGAGGCTCTAATAAGTCCAAATAATATTATAAATATTTTATATAATTTTAAATAGATTTGAAATATAGTAAGATATTTCTAATTCTAATATTATTTAAAATATTAATAATATCAATCTTTAGAAATATTTTATTTATTTTTAAATTATTTAGAATTTTTTTTATAAGCGGAAGCGGGTATCTATTTTTAATAAAAATAATATTCAAAATATAATAATTAATATAAAATCTTAGATCTTTTTTAGGCTTTTTTATATATAATACTAAAAAGATAATTAGTAATAAACTTAAATAAATAAATCCTTTTTTTAAATTTTTTAAAAAATATTTTTTTAAGATTTATAATTTATTTTAAAATATTTTATATAAAAAACCAAACAGCAGGCTTTTCTTTATTTTTTAAAATAATAATATAATTATATTTTTAGTATAAGAATAGCTTCTTGGTCTTGTTAAAAAAATATTTTTAAAATCTTTAAATTTTTTAAATAAAATTAGTTTTTCTAACTTGTTAATAGTTTATAATAATTTATTAATCTAATTTATTATTACTATTAATATTAAGTAGTTATAGCACGTATAAATAGTATATATAATTAATAGAACTAAATAAATATTTGTTTTATTAAAATATCTAAAAATATAATATTTTTAGAATAGATTTTTATTAATATATTATATAATAGTTTAATCTTTTAGAGTCTTAATAAAATATTATAAAAAC